ACAGAGGATGAGATGGTTGGATAGCATCACCGACTCCATGGACGTGAGTTTGAGAAAGCTCCAGGAGTTGGTGATGGACAGGGAAGCCTGGCAAGCTACAGTCCACGGAGTCGCAAAGAGTCTGTATGACTGAGTGACTGAACTGAACCGAACTGAGCATCCAGCTGCTTGCCCAGGACAGAGCTCGAGTGTATGGTACCGCAGGAACCGACTTCAGGGTCCTGATGACAGGCTGCCCCTGTACCTGTCAACATGGGGCGAGGCGCTCCTCCGGTTTGAGAATGGCTACCCTTCGAGATGAACCAGTCGCTGAGATTAGTGTTGGTGCCTATGGGATGGTGTACAAGGCCCATAATCCCCACAGTGGCCACTCTGTGGCCCTCAAGAGCATATGAGTGTCCTGGAGGGGGCCTGCTGGACCTCTGTGCCACAGCCTGAACTGATCGGGAGACCAGAGTGATCCTGGTGTGTAAATATGTGGACCAAGACCTCTGGACCTACCAGGACAAGGCAGCCCCACCAGGCTTGGAGGGGGGGTGGAGATCATCAGGGGTCTGAGGCACCAGCTTCTAAGCGGCCTAGATTTCCCTCATGCTCACTTCTTCGTTCACCGAGACCTAAAGCCAGAGAACATTTAGGTGACAAGTGGTGGAACAGTCAAGCTGGCTGACTTTGGCCTGGCCAGAATCTGCAGCTTCCAGCTGGCACTTACATCTGCGGTTGTTACACTCTGGTGCCCTGAACTCCAGAAGTTCTTTTTACTGCCTACATATGCAAGACCTGTGGACGTGGGGAACAATGGCGATATCTCCGCATAGATGTCTCCTCAAAAGCCTCTCATCTGTGGAACCTCTGAAGCTGACCAGTTAGGCAAATCTTTGACCTGACTGGACTGGCCCCCAGAGGACGACAGGCCCTTAGAAGTGTCTCTACCCGTGGAGCCCTTTCCCCCAGAGGGCCTGGAGCCCCCCTAATCGGTGGTACCTAAGGCTGAGGAGTCTGGAGCACAGGTACTCCAGAGATGCTAGAGATACTGACTTTTAACCCACACCAGCGAATCTCTGCCGTCTGAGCCCAGAGGCACTCTTATCTACACGGTGACCCAGGGTGAGCAATAGGAATGGTTGCATCAGAACCAAGAGAGGAGATGCTGACATTTTCCTTCCTTTGAACCCTGGAGTGTGACCTCTGCCTCGGTCTCTGAGGCTTCAAAGACTGGAGACATTCTCCAGTTTTTTATAAAGACTATTTTGCTGCCTTAATGATATTCCCCTCCAACCCCTCCTTTTTTTGTTGTTGTTTTAAACATTTAATCTAATTTTATTCATGCTTGCCTTGGGATAGAGAATAGATCTTTCAGTAAAAACATATAGTAAAAACAAAATATGTCTTATCATGTACAACTTTTAAACTACAGTAATGATGTATCTTAATTACTTCCAGGCATACAGTCTAACATTACATTTTTTTGTTTTTGTTTTTTAATAAATGCAATTAAGACTTCTAGGAACATTTTGTAATAAAGTACTAATAATTCTTAGTTTTTCTTTGCAGATAGATCAAGCACCTCCAAAATACAAATTCCTATACACAGTGAAACTTAAAAACTCAACATTCAGAAAATTAAGATCATGGCACCCGGTCCCATCACTTCATGGCAAATAGATGGGGAAACAATGGAAACAGTGATAGACTTTATTTTTTTGGGCTCCAAAATCACTGCAGATGGTGACTGCAGCCATGAAATTCAAAGATGCTTGCTCCTTAGAAGAAAAGCTATGACCAACCTAGACAGNACAGAAGATATACTAACTTGCTAAAATAAATAAGATGTGATGTAGTAACACTTTACTATAAAGAATGCATACCAGAACATTTTTAAATGGTGAGTGAAACTTATTAAGAATAGTTTACTACAATAAATGCTGGCTAAATAGAACCACCTCTCCTTTTGAGGCTTATCCTTCTCCTGCCCTTCTGTGTCCTTACACCAAGGGATATGTCTCTTGTTCTCCCCTTCGCTATACCTTGACATTAGGATCTGGTCTGAGCAGATCCCACATACCACAGAGCAACTAAGCCCGAGCGCCTCGCCTACTGATGCCCGAGTGCCCTAGAGCCTGTGCTCTGCAACAAGAGAAGCCAGTGCAATGAGAAGCTTGCGCATCACAACTGGAGAGTAGCCCCTGCTTGCCGTAACTAGAGAAAGGCTCATGCAGCCAATAAATGAATAATAAAATTATTTTTTAAAAAAGGAAAAAACTCTTTATGCACTCGGAGAAGGCAATGGCAACCCACTTCAGTCCTCTTGCCTGGAAAATCCCATGGACGGAGGAGCCTGGTGGGCTGCAGTCCATGGGGTCGCTACGAGTCAGATACGATTGAGCAACTTCACTTTCACTTTCCCTTTCATGCATTGGAGAAGGAAATGGCAACCCACTCCAGTGTTCTTGCCTGCAGAATCCCAGGAACAGGGGAGCCTGGTGGGCTGCCGTCTATGGGGTCGCACAGAGTCGGACACGACTGAAGCGACTTAGCAGCAGCAGCAGCTTTATACACTAATACAGAATGATATTTCAGATACATAATTAAGCAAAAAAAGCAAGATGTAAAAACATGTGTACCATATGCACATTTGTGTAAAAGGGAGGAAAAGAAATACATAGACATTCTAACATAGGAGTTTTGCTTGTGTATTCATAAAGCATCTTGGGAAAGTTACACAAGAAACTGATAGTATAATATGCTAATTTTTAGGGAAATTAGGTAGCTGAGAGGAAAACATTTCCATTGCCAATTCATTGTGCTGAACACATGAATGTGTCACCTATTCTAAAATAAAAATCATAAAACATAAATTAAGAGGACTAGGGCATTTGATTACATCACCAAATACTTTCATTTCTGTTTTTTTCTCCAAACCCCACTTTAAAGGATCTGTAAAGGAGCGGACCCCTACAGTCTATAGGGTCTCAAAGATGTGGACATGACTTAGCGACTGAATAACAAAAACAAAATGGAATAAAAGAGAACCATATGTACAGAGAATAGGAGAGGGAACAAAAAGTAGGTCATATGAACATGATTTGGGGAGAGAATGAGGCAACAGCACAGATTTCAGGTCACACTTCCAGTCCCAACCCTTTAACTTGTTTCTCCTGAGCTCTTGGGCAAATAAATCCTTTACTACTTTGAGCTTCTGATCCCTTATCTGTGGAAGAGTAAGAATGAGTCACTGTGTTGTGTTCTATATTGCGTCTTGTGGGAATACTCGAAGTATTCATTGTCAACGATCAGAAGGATTTAATGAAGTACAGAGACTGCTATCATTACTTTAAACAATAGTAGCACTTTAAGCTCTTATTAATTCAGTTTTTGTCAGTCTGATAGGAAAAATAGCAGTATCTTATTTAAATTTGAACTTCTCTAATTATAAATGGGGCTTCCCTTGTGGCTCAGCCAGTAAGAAGCTGCCTGCAATGCGGGAGACCTGGGTTCAATCCCTAGGTTGGGAAGATCCCCTGCAGAAGGAAAAGGTTATCCACTCCAGTATTCTGGCCTGGAGAATTCCATGAACTATAAATGGGGAGAGTTTCAAGCCAGAGAAAGCTGGCTTGAAACTCAACATTCAAAAAATTAAGATCATGGCATCTGGTCCCATCATTTCATGGCAAATAGATGGGGAAACAGTGATAGACTTTTTTTCTTGGGCTCCAAAATCACTGCAGATGGTGACTACAGCCATGAAATTAAGATGCTTGCTCCTTGGAAGAAAAGTTATGACCAATCTAGACAGCATATTAAGAAGCAGAAGCATTACTTTGCTAACATAGTTAAAGCTATGGTTTTTCCAGTAGTCATGTGTGAATGTGAGAGTTGGACTGTAAACAAAGCTGATCGCTGAGGAATTGATGCCATTGAACTGTGGTGTTGGACAAGACTCTTGAGAGTCCCTTGGATTGCAAGGAGATACAACTAGTCCATCCTAAAGGAAATCAGTCCTGAATATTCACTGGAAGGACTGATGCTGAAGCTGAAACTCCAATACTTTGGCCACCTGATCCAAATATCCGACTCATTAAAAAAGACCCTGATGCTGGGAAAGATTGAAGGCAGGAGGAGAAGGGTTTGACAGAGGACAAGATGGTTGAGTGGCATCACCAACTCAACAGACATGAGTTTGAACAAACTCCAGGAGATGGTGGAGGACAAGGAAGCCTGGCATGCTGCAGTCCGTGGGGTCGCAAAGAGTCGGACACGACTTGGCAACTGAACAACAACAATTATAAATGAGGTTGAATAATTACGTGTCTATTCCATTTGTATTTCTTTTTCGGTGATTTGCCTGATCATTCAAAATAGTTAACATCTACTGCATGTTATTGTGTACCAGGGACTGTGTTATGATCTCTATCCAAATTATCTCATTTAACCTGCAGATCAAATGGGTAAAATTATTATGCTCATTTTCAGCTGAGGAAACCAATATTTAAGAAGTCAATTGTTAAAGTCTCCATCACCAGTTAAGTAGAGTCCGGATTCTGATTGAGGACTTGACTCTGACCCAGAAATCTGACTTGATTGAGAACACAGGCTCTTCAGGCTTTGGTTTCAAAGACTCTCCCCCTGATCATTTTCCTTTTGCATTATTTGCCTTTTCTTAATATTTTGCAAGAGCCGTTTGTAATTTGGCGGTAGGGCTCAGAGTAGGGGAGAATCTATCTGGGCCAAAGGGCAGAAGTGACTTCAAAGAAGCAGCCTGCCTGGCCTTCAACTACCCCTAAGGTGGTGTGTCAGCCTAGGCGGTGCAGTCAGACATGATGGCAGCAGACCAAGCTGGTACAGAACACAGGTCTGCAAAGACGTCAACAGTGGACAGTGGACTTCAACCCCTTTAGAGAGAAAGCAAGAGTGACCCACAGGAGGAGGATGAAAGCAGAGCTTTCAGGCTGTCCAAAGTCATCAGAGGGAAAGAAGAAAACATGAGGCGGAAAGCTGGCCAAGAGCTTCCTGAAGACCATGCAAATGAGGCCCGCCCACAACTGCCTGGAAACCGCTCGCCAGGAGCAGACAGAGCCCAGAGGATACGCTGCAGGACCGCTCAGCCAAGGACGAGGAGGAGGTGGAGGTGGCCCTGAGGAGCAGGTAAGGAGTCAGGAGGGCCGTGGAGGGCAGGGTCACAGGGTCCTGCGTTCTGGAGAGGCAGCTCGTCCCTGGGGTGAACACCGGCCTGGGAGGCAGGGCTCCTGGGATCATCTTTCAAGTTCAACCATTCTTTAGCTGTGAAGCCTTGGGCAAGTCAGTTCGCCTTTCTGAGTCTTGACATTCCCATTGATAAAATGAGTGTAAAAATGTCATGTTAACTACGCATTGAGCATCTGCTATGCTTTGCTGGGCACATAATAGCCATTATCCGTTCCTCATGGCAAGCTCATAAGGTGGGCTCATTAGCCTCTATCATAGAGGCAAACAAAGCTCAGAGACATTAAGCCATTTGTCTAAGACCTCACAGCAAAGAAGTCCGGTTCTAAAACTACATACTTTCAACTCTTGATCCTGCTTTCTTCTGAGGGTGGTTTTACAGAATCAAATGGTCTATGCAAATGGAAAAAAAAAAAAAACTGTAAAAGGCAATTATACCATCAATATGGGAGTCACTCCACTTAGACCCTGGCCAGAACTGATGCCCTTGTAAACTGGGAAGTTCTATGAAAATGCTAGTTCTTCACCTCTTTCCTCTCTCCAAGTTGAAAGCACTGGGGTGATGCTACAGACAACTATTTGGCTGAGTGAGCGGATCACAGATGGAGGTGATGTCTTGAGTGGTATTGGGATATCCCAGCTTGAGAGTGACTTCAAGTTGGATAAGTGGCCAGTCTCTCCTGTTTCCTGGAGACAGACTCTGAAACCACAGCCAAGGCCTGAGGAGACCATGGCCAATAAGGGCCCAGGTGCTGATTCAAACCGTAATCATCCCTCCTCACAGCCCTTAACAGATTTAGCCATGGAACTTCAGAAAATGGAAGTCTGCCTTGTGGGGAGGGAAGTTCTTTAACATAGTAATATAAGCTTAGCGCAGTAAAATTTGAATTTTCAGAGAGAATAAAAAACAAGCCAACAAACAAACTTCTACTCTTATCCACAGAGATAACCACTGTTGACAGTGTTTGTTTTTCCACGCATTTTTCCATTGCACACATATATTGGAAAATTAGATTGTACTGTAATATGGTTTACTGCTGGTTCTTTTCATTAATGACATGTCATGAACGTATTTCCATTTCAATAGATGCTTTAGGACATTGTTTACAGGCTGCAGAACGTCTCTTTGTATGGATGGAGAGAACTTATTTAATCAGTGTCCTACTATTGGATAATTAAGCAGTTTTCAGTTTTTCACCATTAGAGCAATGCTCAGATCTTTGCACAGGACCTGGACTGTTTACACAGTATAAATTTCCAGCGGGGGCACTGCTGAATCAAGGTTACATATATTTTAAGGTCTGCTTCTGACACACTCTGGAATTCAGGGGCTTCTCAAAGCTCAATGCAGAAAACTTCATGGCTTCAAAGTCAGCCTTTTTCAATTTTATTTTATGTTTGGTTGTAGTGGGTCTTCGTTGCTGTGGGTACTTTTCTCTTGTTGTGGCAATCAGGGGCTACTCTGTATTGTGGCGCATGGGCTTCTCATTGTGGTGGCTTTTCTTGTTGCAGAGCACCGGCTCTAGATAACAAGGGCTTCAGTAATTGTGGTTCTTGGGCTCAGCAGTTTCAGCTCCCAGGCTCTAGAGCACAGGGTCAGTAGTCATGGCCTGGTGGCTTAGTTACTCTGTGGCGTGTGCGATCTTCCTGGACCAGGGATCAAACCCGTGTCCCCTGCATTGGCAGGAGGATTCTTTAGCAGCACCTGGGAAGCCCTCAGAGTCTTCCTTGAGCCTTCCTCTCTCTCAAATCTCTTTGCAGGGATAATTCAACTGCCTCATAGACAGTCTTTCCCATGTGCCAGGTTCTGTCTAAGAACTTTACCCTCTGAGGCACCACCACTTTTAGCTTCCTTTTCAGAAGAAATGGAAGAACAGAGAAGTTAAGCAATTCAACTGAAATCACAGCCCTAGTAAGCAGTGGCTCAGAGATCAGTAGCCTTGACAATCTGGTTCTAGAATCTCTGCTGTCCACTTCTTCTCAAAAAGTACGTTTGATCCCATCTCCAAAGATACCTTTTACCCATCCCTTTGATCTTCTCCACCATCGCCTCACCTGCATCAAATCCCACCATCCCAACATGGACCACTGCTAGAGCCCCTATGTGGTCCTTCATTTCCACTCGTCCCTTTCAATCTGTCTTCTGCTCTGCAGCTGAAATGGTGTTTTTAAAATAGAAACAGGATCAGGTCAGCCCCCACTCCCCAGCGCCACCGGCAAGCATACATAGACATAGACTCAGCCCTAGAATAAAAATCCCGGATGCTTTCCCCAGCCTCCAGGGCAGTCTCTCTTAGGATTCTCCTAAGTCCTCTCTTAGGATTCTTCCTAAGCCACTTTCCAATCTAGACCCGCCCACTGCACCTCCTTTCACTTCCTCAAAGCTTCTTCTCACCTTAGAGTTTTGGCACAGGCTATTCTCTTGAGCTGGAATGCTCCTACTCCACTCTACAGGGTTGGATTCTTCTCATATCCCCTCTCTCATCTGAAGCAGCCAGTCCCCTAAGCTCACTTTCCTTTTTGTTTATAGCATTCATTAAAATTGTGCATTATTTATCACCTGTCAGTCACTCATTAAATGTTTCCTTCCCTTACTAGACTCTAAATGTCCTGAGGTCAGAGACTACATCTGTTTTGTTCCCTGTTATTTACTAAGTGTCTAGCACGGTGCCTGACCTGTGATGTTCAGTTCAGTTCAGTTCAGTAGTTCAGTAGTGTTGCTCTTTGCGGCCCCATGGACTGCAGCACACCAGTCCTCCCTGTCCATCACCAACTCGCGGAGTTTACTCAAACTCATGTCCACTGAGACCTGTGATGAGCTCTCGTTAATTCAATGACTGCTCGTCGGATGGATGAAAGATCCACAGGAGGAGGCATTCACTGGTCGGGATCTTTGGCCAACTATCTCAGCTTTGGCCAGAGCTAGTTCATCCTCCCTCAGCATGCCTTCCTCTTCCCTACACGAGGCAGTGACAGAAGTTTAGGGTCTAGCAGGAAACCAGGAAGCCATGGTTGAGAGGGTAAGCAGGTTTTGCTTCAGATGCCATTTCAGTCGGGGTAGATGATGTCATGTGTGGGGCAAAAGGGAGACTCATTGTCCCCAAATCCCCCCTGCATGCTTCCTGGATTCCTACCACGAGAGGAATATTTATGGCCGCTCTACCACGAGAGGAATATTTATGGCTGCTAGAACTTCCCTAGTGAAATGCAAGCTCTCACTGTCCAGTCAGTAACACATATCCAGCAGGTGAACTGAATGGTGGCTTTTGCCTCTCTGAAAGCAGCATGGTGGTGGCCTAGAAGTCCCGAGGTCACCAGTGGGTGACCCTGGTGGTGGTTTAGTCACTCAGTCGTGTCCAACTCTTTGCAACCCCATGGACTGTAGCCTGCCAGGCTCCTCTGTCCATGGGATTCTCCGGGCAAGAATACTGGAGTGAGTTGCCATTTCCTTCTCTGGAGGGTCTTCCTGACCCAGGGATCGAACCTGAGTCTCCTGCATTGCAGGCAGATCTTTACCCACTTAGCTATGAGGGAAGCTCATGGGTGATACTTGGGGAGACTAAAGGACTCCCCAGGTGGTGACAGAGATAAAGAATCTGCCTGCCAATGCGGAAGACACAGGACACACGGGTCGGGAAGGTCCCCTGCAGAAGGAAATGGCAATCCAGTCCAGTATTCTTGCCTGGGGAAAACCATGGATAGAGGAACCTGGAAGTCTACAGTCCGTAGGGTTGGACATGACTGAGCGCACGCGTGCACGCGCACACACACACACACACACATCAGCAAAGTGAGGCCTTAGGTTGGAGAAGAGGTTTTTAAACTTTTTTTTTTCCCTCGGAAGCTCAGCTCTTCAGCTTGTTCAAATGCTTACTATGAGGAAAGCCCGGTGTCTTCGGCTGAAATACAGACGTGGGGCTGGAGTGCTGCTCCCCCTCCACGACTCCCCCTTTGAGCTCCCCAGGGTGGTGGGAAGGTCAAGTCTTGGACTCAGCTCAGTGGTCAGTGCCTGCCGGCTGACCGTCTGTGCTCTAAGAACAAAGGAGGCAGCGAGGCCTGCATGTTCTGGGTGTAGCCCCTTGGGCCCATGACGTGATCAGGAGGGCACTTGCTGAATCTAATATTGAGAGAATGGTCAGAGACTTTAGGCAAGGCAGCAAGTGAATTTCATAGCAATTGAAGGGCAGGGCTGGCAGCCCCTTTGTGTGAGAAGGAGGTTTCAGCCATTTTAGAAAAGAAAGGAGGGCCCAGGAGAGAGGAAGCCCAGAAGGCTCATTTACCCTCTCCGCCATCTAGAAAAAGGAAATTGCCACCCCTGCCTTTCCAGGCCAGGGATCCCAGGCCTGGAGGAGAGCGCCCGCGTCTCACAGATGCTTGGCTTCCAGGGCTGGTTGTTGCCCCGCCCCAGGGGAAGGCTGGTCCCCCACCTCCCCACCTGCCGCTCCAGAGGCCGCAGCCTGGGCCACCTGGCAGCCGCAGGTGCTGCGTGTGCGCTGCCATGGAGACGGGCCCCGGGGCTGGTGGCGAGAAGGCAGCCTCCCAAGGCTTTGTGGATACTGGAGAGGAAAAGACTGGAGCCTCCGACCTTCCAGGGCAGTCTGCCTTACTGCCCAAGTGCCAGGGAAGCCCAGGTGGGTGCTTTGGGGGCTTCTAGGACAAATGGATGGGGGAGGAGCCAGGGGAGATCAGATCTTGCTCTGGAAGGGCTGATCTGGGCAGCTGGGGAGGGAGGAGCCTGTCCATGATTTCAGGTCAAAGGGAAAAGCCTTCGCAGAGGTCCCTTTGCCAGGCCAGCGTGGTGCCCTGGACAAAGACTGGGCCCATGGACTGCGGGGACTGGCCCTGCAGCCCAAGGGGATGAGGAAGGGAGGGCCTGGCATCTGCCCCCAGAGGAGGGGTAGACCAGGTATTGGCAAAGCCCGCCTCTACCCTAGCCGGGGATGTGAGGTAGCAGGTAGGGAAATATTCATCCTCCAGGAAGATCCCCTGGAGGAGGGCACGGCAACCCACTCCAGTATTCTTGTCTGAAGAATCCCATGGAGAGAGGAGCCTGGCGGGCCACTGTCCATGGGTTGCAAAGAATCGGACAGGACTGAAGTGACTTAGCACACTTAGCTCATGAGACACTGTCTGTGGTTCCCCTCCCTTTCCCTGGAGTCCAGGAAACCAAGGGCAATCCCATGCAGCACAGGGAGCATTTAAATCCGCTTTCATGGCTGGAGAGCCGTCTCCTCCAGCGTGGGCTCAGTGATGCTGGGGTGGCTCAGGCCTTCGCCCAGCAGAGAGAAAGCTGCCAGAGCACCAGGCTTAGGAACCTGGTGATCTGGAACAATCATTTTTTTTTTTTTTTAATTATTGGCATATAGGTGATTTACAATGTTGTGTTAGTTTCAAGTGTACAGCAAAGTGAGTCAGTTATACATATTCAGTTCAGTTCAGTCGCTCAGTTGTGTCTGACTCTGCGACTCCATGAACTGCAGCATGCCAGGCCTCCCTGTCCATCCCCAACTCCCGGAGTTCACCCAAACTCATGTCCATCGAGTCTGTGATGCCATCCAACCATCTCATCCTCTGTCATTCCCTTCTTCTCCTGCCCTCAATCTTGCCCAGGATCAGGGTCTTTTCAAATGAGTAAGCTCCTCGAATCAGGTGGCCAATGTATTGGAGTTTCATCTTCAACATCAGTCCTTCCAATGAACACCCAGGACTTATCTCCTTTAGGATGGACTGGTTGGATCTCCTTGCAGTCCAAGGGACTCTCAAGAGTCTTCTCCAAAACCACAGTTCAAATGCATCAATTCTTCAGCACTCAGCTTTCTTTACAGTCCAACTCTCACATCTATACATGACTACTGGAAAAACCATAGCCTTGACTAGACAGACCTTTGTTGGCAAAGTAATGTCTCTGCTTTTTAATATGCTGTCTAGGTTGGTCATAACTTTCCATATATCCACTCTTTTTTACATTGTTTTCTCATATAGGTCATTACAGAGTACTGAGCAGAGTTCCGTGTGCTATACAATAGGTCCTTATTAGTTCTTTATTTTATATACAGTACTGTGTACATGTCAGTCCTGATCTCCCAGTTTATCCCTCCCCTGCCTATCCCCTGAGAACCACAAGTTTGTTTCTACATCTATTTCAGTTTTATAGATAAGTTCATTTCACTTCATCTTTTTGAATGTAAGTTTCCATTTCATCTGCGAAATAAATGTGGGTGACAACGCCTTTCAACAGCCCTCAAGACCCAGCCTAGGGCCAAGCACGGCCCGGGCGACTAACGGGTGCTGCTTTGCTCTTTCTCTGCCAGGACTCCCTGTGTCGGAGTCCCCAGCGTCCGGCCTGAGGATGGCGGAGCAGCAGGGCCGGGAGCCCGAGTGCCCTGTCTGCTGGAACCCCTTCAACAACACATTCCACACCCCCAAAGTGTTGGACTGCTGCCACTCCTTCTGCGTGGAGTGCCTGGCGCACCTCAGCCTGGTGACCCCGACGCGGCGCCGCCTGCTGTGCCCGCTCTGTCGCCACCCCACCGTGCTGGCCTCCGGGCAGCCTGTCACTGACTTGCCCACGGACACCGCCCTGCTCACCCTGCTCCGCCTGGAACCCCACCACGTCATCCTGGAAGGCCGCCAGCTCTGTCTCAAGGACCAGCCCAAGAGCCGCTACTTCCTGCGCCAGCCCCGGGTCTACACGCTGGACCTGGGCCCTGAGCCTGGGAGTCAGGCCGGGCACGCCCAGGCCGTGGGCCGCAGCACCAGGCCCGCCGCCATCCCCAGCCACTACTCTCTGCGGGAGTGTTTCCGCAACCCGCACTTCCGGATCTTGGCCTACATGATGGCGGTGGTCCTCTGCGGCACCGTGCTGTTCATCTTCTCCATCTTTTGCACCAGACGATTCTTCTGGGGCTTGGGGTGAGGTCTGTTCCAGACGCCTTTCCTAGCTGCTGCTGGGTATGTGGACTGCGGAGCGCCGCTTGGGCTGGTCTTCCTTCGTAGTATTGTTCATTTTTACAATCCAGGGGTTGGCTAGGCTGTGCATCTGCTTCTAGCAACAGAGTCTTACTATGATGAGAACCTCTGAAGGCTAACGGACTGGGGACGACGTGACGAGACTCTCTGGGTGTGAACCGGGCGTCATGGAAGGGCAGAGGAGCAGACCTGTGATCACAGAGCCAGAAGCAAGTTGTGCCAAAAGGCTGGATGAGGGTACCCAGGAGCCTGTCCAGCCCAAACAGCAGGTTGCATTTCTTACTGGAGCTGCTTTGAACTCAGTTCACATTTTTTTGTTTGTTTTTTGAGTTGCTCTTTTTACTATTTGATGCTAAAAAAAATCTGGGAGTGAACTTCAGTCAGGAGCAAGCGTGTTTGTCTTCTCCTTTCAGTTTTCTCTTTGGCTATCTTGCCACCAGTCCCAGTAAAAATGGCCTGCATTCATTAATTTATTCACTTATTCAACAACCCATTGGCTGGTCCTCTGTCAGAACTAGGGGGAGAGAAAGGTAGGATTAACCAGGAGTGGCAGAGTCCTCAGTAAGGAGGGCAGGCCAGTCAGTTGCTTCTGGTTCATGATGACCTCTTGTTAGTATGTGGTTTACGGAGTGTTAAGAGTATAAAAGCTTAAAGGGAAAAGAAACCTGAGTCAGTGGATCAAAAGAAATCTGGGATTTGGAGGAAAAGATTTTATTCCTCCTGGTAGGTGCAGGGTAGGGTTCTGATTCCCGTCCTTCAACCATTGTAATTCTGGCCTTAAGAGGTAAGGCAGGGAGCATCCATTGTGGCACAGTGGATAAGAATCCACCTGCCAATGCAAGGGACACAGGTTTGACCTCTGGTCGGGGAAGATACCACATGCCAAGGAGCAACTAAGCTGCAACTATGGAGGCTGCGTGCCTAGATCCTGAGCTTGGCAACAAGAGAAGCCACTGCAGTGAGACGCCCCGGTTCACTGCAACTAGAGAAAGGCCTTGCAAAGCAACGAAGACCCAGTGCAGGCAAAAATAAATAAAATTATGTTTAAAAAAAAAGAAAAAGCAAGGCAGGGAATTCTCTGGCAGTCTAGTGGTTAGGACATCCCGAGTCCACTGCAAGGGAACTAAGGTTCCACATGCCATGAGGTGCAGCCAAAAAAAAAAAAAAAGAGGTAAGGCAGAAACTCCGGATAGAGTAAAAGCCTTAGCTCCCATCCCAGGCAACACCACCAAGGGATCCTGGTTTTTATTTTGTATGACAGCATCTAGGGACCAAGGAAAACTGGATAGAGTTTGGATGCTGCTTGACTGCCAGTGGCCACCTCTGCAATATCTAAAACCCCGACTTCTGTTCCCTCACTTTTAATACTACCTGCTGACTCAGGTCTCTGAAACTACCTCAGAGCAAATTAGAACACCATCACAAAATGATAACATTTTGTTTTGGGGGGGGTGAATTTGTAGAATAAGCTTTCAGAGGACAGAAGCTGAGTTGGTTTCATTTGCTCTATATAGCATTTTGTGAGTTTAATGAAGGTAGCTTCTATAAATTCTTATGGGTCTTAATGTATAAGATATTCCCAAATTGCCAAGATATGCAGACTTCATGTTTAGCAACACCAAAGCCTTAAGCTCCACTGTGAAGGAAAAGTTCTCCATTACGAAATTCGAAAGCTGCCTTCATATCCTGCCAGGGGACTAGCATCTACCTCTCCATTTGCGCCATCAGGTAATTACACTAAAGCTGGGACTCCACACTTCTCCCCACTGACTTCATTTCTTTACACATTCTTGCTTCTTAACCTTGTGGCGGGTAAATTAGGCAATGAACTCACGTTCTCAGAGCCATGACGAACAGGGAGAGGAGCCGGGGGAAGCTCAGGAAGGAACACCTGCCTCTGAACCAGGGCCCACTGCTCCCGAGTTCAGGAGGTCTCACCCCCATTTCACAGATGAAACTGGGGCTCCCCAAGTTTAGCTAATTTGTTCAAGGTCACCCAGCTAGCATGTGGTGGAGGCCTTTCAGTCAAAGCAGAACTTCTACCCTTGGAGTGGCTGATTGACCAAGCAAGACTCAGCTTTGAGGATTCTGGAATAGGGAAGGTTATACTTAACACTGCAGCATCTCCTGTTTTCACATTTAATATTAATGGTTCTAACACTGGGCAGTGCCATCCTTGTAGAGTGCGTTTAGAAATCTTTGGCCCTCCAATGCAGGGGTGAGTTTTGTTTCTGGCTGTTGGTACTCAGAGGTCAGGGATGCTAAGACACGCTGCAATGCTGAAGACACTCTACAGAACAAAGCATCATCTGACCCAAAATGCAAATAGTTTTCTGTTGAATAACACTGCAGGCTCCTTGTAAGTTCACAGGTACAAGTGATGAAATTAACTCCCTTTGGCATGAAGTCAGAGTAACAGATGCAGTGATGTGGTATAAACGGTGGAACAGGCTTTTCCAGTATGTGACCTGAGGTGACTTTTTTTTTAAGGAATGAGGCAATTTATTAACCCAGCATCATTTGCTCTAATGCTGCTTGTTGCCAGCTGCCACCTGTCTGGCGATTCTGTCCAGGTCTTTTTCCTGAGATGTCAGTTTGCAGCCCCCGTCTTGGTTCTTTTCCACCGTTTCCCCTGTAGGGCTTGGAGGACCCGATGGGCCACACTCTTGGAACCTCTGCTGAAGTGGCTGGGCATGAGGCCACTCCTCTGACGCCCCCCCCAGAGATCGTGGTCCTGGGGCCAAGCCCAGCGCCCCTGGAGTACAGGTTCTGTGCGGTGGAAGCAGCTCGTGTGCAGGATCAGTTCTCACTGTAGGGAGCGAGCGAGCTCCTTATGTTTGGCCAGCTTGACAGTGTCCACCCATTGAGGGACTGTCAGCTTCCCGGACTTTCTGAGGAAGGTGGCCAGCCCTCTGACAAGACTCCAGCTGGTTCACGTCTTTTCCAGTAACTCCAGGCATTATGCAGCCTCCGCGCTGCCAGCCAGGGCCAAGAAGGTGACTTCTAAAATGGTTTGCTATTCAGTTGACCCAGAAACTCCCACAAAACCATGCAAATCAAGAGGTTCAAAATCTGCACATGTTCATTTTAAGAACACTTGTGAAACGGCCCAGGCCATTTAGGGTATGCACATCTGAAAAGTCACCAAGTATCTGAAGGATACCCCTTTACAGAATGTGTGCCATGCAGTTCTGTCGTCACAATGGTAGAGTTTGTAGGTGCGCTCAGGCCAATCGGGGCTGGACGCAGGGTCGGTAGTCCAGAGGGCTGAGTTTTTACTGTACACCTTCAAAGATGCAGAGAGCAGTGCTGAACTGAAGGGCTTAGATGCAGATGCTCTGGCCACCGAGCACATTCAGGTGAACAAAGCCCCTGAGAGGTGGCGCAGGATTTACAGAGCTCGTGGTGGGTTCACCCGATCCAGGAGCTCTCCCTGCCACGCTGAAAAAAAGACAGAAATTCTCACGGAAAAAGGAGATAGTTCCTAAACCGGAAGAGGGGGTGGCACAGAAGAAAAACATACCCCAGAAGAAAATGAAGAAACAAAAACGTAGTGGTCTGGGAATAAATGCTGCCAAAAAATAAATGCAAGTAGAAAGTAAATAAATACAAGGTAGAGCGGTTAGAGTTCAGGCTTTGTACAGGGAACAGGCCGTGCTGGCTGGACTGTTTTTTTTTTTTTATCTGGTCAGTGTTGCCAACATACTAAAGTCCTATGAAACCTCTTTTAAGGTCAGAGACCAGACTCTACCACTTACTAATTAGGTAATCTGGAGCAAGTTACTTCTTTGAACTGCAGTTTTGTTTGTAAAAAAGGCAAGAATAATTAACTCGAGACTGTGAGGATTAAACAAGATGCCTGAGGGTTATCTGGCGGTATCTAGACAAAGTACCCTCTTAAGTGATAGCAGTAGTGTTTAATCTCACCATTATCATGAAATGCCACACTTAGTGTATGCTCCTCAGCCAAAGGCTTTCTAAAAATATTTCCAGTGAGGAAGTGTATATTCCATAAGACACTTCTTTTGCTAAAGGCTTAGATGACATATATTCACTCAGTTGCTACTTCTAAATCACTTGGAATCCCCCCCCCAAAAAGAAGACAAGTTTGAATGATAGTAAAACTTCATTTTGAGAAAATCTTGAACACACTACATTTAAAAATTGCATGCTCATATACTAAGGTTCATTATTACTTTCAACACACTACGAAGGTAGTTAGGAAAAAAACAATTTTTTCATGGCTTTACTATGGAGGGAATGGTAACCCACTCCAGTATTCTTGCCAAGAGAGTCTCATGGACAGAAGAGCCTGGTGAGCTAGTCCATGGGGTTCCAAGGGTCGGACACAACTTTGCGATTGAACCACCACAACCACGGAGGAAACGGAGCCTGCGAAACAGCGAAGTGAAGAGCCGAGCAGAAGGCAGAGCGGGTGATCCAGAAGCTCCAGAGGCACACAGGACGTGCAGCCACTCGGTTCTAACTGAAATCAGACTCAAAAGTCTATTTAGCTACATGTCACTCATTCATAGTTTGTACAAGGGTAACTGTCAAGCCTCCTTGGGAAGCAAAGGACAAGTGTTTTGAATGTTCAAGAAGCCATCATATTAGCCCTTCTGAATTCTCTATACACAATCCTTGCCAATTCTATTTTTGTGTGAATCTGTGTGAATTCAGTGTTCAGTGGTTGTATATTCGGGGTGGAAACAGGTAACTACTGCATGGTCAGTGAATAATTATAGGGTCCAGATACAGTTCACTGGTAGTCTGGCCTATAATGCGACAGCCCTCTATTTTTAAAAAAATGACTGACAGAATGCTTACTAAGGAGATGGAATTAGAATAAGCCATACTTGAGATCACTTGTTATATCCCAAACTTAAAAAAAAGGGATCTCTGTGGACCAATGGCTGGGACTCAGGAAATGCTTCACTATACAAAATAATTCTTTAAAGGATAGTTTTTTAAACAGGATTTTACTCTGCGGCAAGTGTATAATAAAGAAAAAGTTTATGTTTAGGAATACCCATTAGGGATTCTTTTTCCCAGAGTTATCTCCACATGAAGGGTACATATAAATAATCAACAGAAAATAACTTGCACAATAGAGACATCATGTTTGCTTTCTAAAAATTTCATTGAATCTTGACACAATGGCCTAGCTTTGGGTAACACAAAGGATGCCAAACTTCAAAGCAAAATGGAAGACATCTTCTCGAGAGGCAGATGCTCAGTTCTGAACTTCCCGATGCAGTTAGCGTTCCAAGTGAACTCAACAGGATGAGGTAGAACCTCTGCTGCGGAGCGCGGGACACAGCTGCGCTCCACGCCTTCGCCGCCCGCTCCGAGGGCTCTCGCTCTGGCAGGAGCTGTTCAGCCGGCGCCGTGAGCTGCGCCTCTCTGCCCGAGGGCCTCCTGCACACAGCACAGCCGTCCTGCTCTCTTGGGTCCCACGGAGTCCTGAAACATGTACCACGTAGTGGAAAGCCAGGTTTCAAGAAGGCAAAGTCCTGAGTGCTCTGAGGGAAGCAAGAGGGCATTCAAACGAAAGATTAATAAAAACAAAATCTACAAAGCTCATGGAGGGGCTTGAAGATGAAAACTACAATTTTTCAACCATGGAAGGGGTTGACCAACACCCAGGGACTGGGCTGCCTGCCTGAAGTGGGAGCTGAGACAGAAATTCAATTCTTTTGAGGATTTATATACATGGTAATTGGCAAAACACATGATAGAACAAAACACATCAATTCCTTTCTTTTGAAAACGGCTCTAAAGGGAGAGTGAGGCTTGAGTCCTTCTTCCATGGTCCTGCCTATTCAGCCATCCAGAGTTTGAAGGTCCTGTCATAGGAGCAAGTGGCTATGAGCTGCCCATCGGAAGAAATGTCTAGGCCCATCACTTTGCCTTCGTGGCCGGCCAGAGTCTTCAGAGGGGACCAGCCTGGGTGAGTCCAGATCTTGGCTGTGTTATCATAGGCACCAGTGAGCAAGAAATTCCCATGGATAGCTACAAAAGAGAAGAGGAACTACTTCAGGAATTGAAATATTCAAAACAGTGTAAGAAAATAGAAGAACCCAAATCTGCAGGGTGTGTGCTCAGTCGTGGCTGACTCTTTGTAACCCCATAGACTGTAGACTGTCAGGCTCCTCTGTCCGTGGAATTTTCCAGGCAAGAATATTAGAGTGGGTTACTTCCCTGGCGGTCCAGTGGTTAAGACTCCATGCCTCTATTGCAGGGGGCATGGGTTTGACCCCTGGTTGGGAAACTAAGATCCCACATGCCACATGAAGGGGGAAAAAAAAAAATCTAAAGCAATCAAGAAGACTGGAGTGGGTTGCTATTTCCTCCTCCAGGGGATCTTCCCAACCCAGGGATCAAACCCGCGTCTCTAGCATCTCGTGCACTGACAGGTGGATTCTTTACCACTGTGCCACCTGGGAAGTCCTCAAATCCACTAGAACATACTATTTCCAAAAAGATGGTATTTTGGCATTCACAAAATGCCAACACTCCAATCTACATTTCTACTAGTCCTCTAAAAAAAAGGGAACAACTACAGACAGACTTAGGGAAACAAATAACATTATTAAGGTCTTTTGGCTCTTTCCCTGAGACTATCTATTCAGAATAATATTAAGAATTAAGTGCTTGGACTTTCCATGGAAAGCAAAACATGCACAGAAGTCTTTTTTACTTCCTAGCAACAAGAAGTATGCAGTCATAGCTCTGTCTGAAATAGTGGTTGAGGGAAGGAAATTATCATTTGTTCCTTCAACAGGGTCCAAATTCTCTCATGTTCCCCTTCCAAGTTAAGCTAACACCTGGCCTGCATTTCACGCAAATGCAGTCTGTTTGTCTTGTAGTTAGGCTTACAATAGAAGGAAAACTCACGCTCAAACTTGACACCCGTCACTAAGTTCTGATGGGCAGGGATGGTATAGACACAACGTCGCTGTCGAAGGTCCCATACTTTGCAGGTGTTATCACCACTGCCAGTTGCAATGTGGTAGCTGTGGATCAGATATAGTGATGAAGTCAGAAACACAGAGTACCTGCTGACCAATAACCCTGTCCACCCCTTATTCAGTGAGCTTATTTACCCATTGGGGGAGAAATTTATTCCATATATTTCCTTCAGGTGACCTTCTAGGAACATGATACAACGTCCTGTGCGCAGGTCCCAAACTCGACCAAATGCATCCAGTCCCCTGATAAAACAATTCATGAATGAGTATTTTGAACCCAGTTCTCTGTGGAAGCAGGCAGATGTCAGAGGTGAGACGACTGAGCTGCCCCGGCTATGTGGAAGAAGCCTTACCCAGTGCCAGCCAAAGAGCCATCTTGATGGAAGGCAATGTCATACACACCCATGCTGTGGCCCTCCTGATGCAGGATCTCCTCTTGAGCTTCCAAATCCCACAAGCGCCATGATCGGTCATAGCTTAAAAAGTCAAGCTAACAATTAACCAGCAGATACTCAAAGTGTACAAAGTGCTATAAATTACAAGTGTACAAAGTGCTTCAATGTACCAAGTGCTGTCAACAGTTGTAGCTCAAGTTATATTTCTGAAACTACTCATACAACCATATTAACAAACTCTTTTCTGGCATAAATAATGTCTCCACAACTAAGCATATCTGTCTTGGGTGCTAAATGGGAAACTATGGACTGCCTATGCCTAAAGGTAGCCACTGCCTACCTCAGTGGCTATTTTAAAAAACAGAATTCACTTAGAATGGTCCAGAACAAAGACTCTGTTGCCTACTTTCTTCCCCAATTTCAGTTATGTCCTTCCATTCACTGAGCATTTACTGGGTCCTAAAGTGAATGCTGGGGATATAATCAATCACAAATAGATCAACAGAATATAACAGAATAGAGAGTATACAAATAGGCCCACATATACATGGTCAAATGATTTTCAATGAGGCCACCAAAGCAATTTCAAAAGTGAAAATCTCAATGATGAGAAAACTGTAATACATATGGAAATACATATAAAACAAAAAATCCTCAATTAAAAAATGGGTGAAGCACCTAAACACTGAACAAAAGAAAATACACAAAGGGTCAATAAGCATATGACTCAATACCAACAGTCATCAGAGTAATAAAAAAACTGAAACCATGAGATTTCACTACATACTTGCAAGACTGGGCAAAATGATGAGATGGGCAATGCCAAATGTTGCAAGGATGTTAACAAAAAAAACCATAACACTAGAATGCTGGGAATGCAGAATGATACCAACACTAAGGAAAACCACTTGCAAGTTTTAAAAGTTAAATATACATCTACCCTATAACCTTGCAATTGCATTCCAAGATATTATTTATTCAAGAGAAAGGAAAGACAAATATGTCCACAAAAGTACTAGATGAGAGTATGTATAGCAGCTTTATTCTTATCAGCCAAGAGCTGGAAACAGCCCAAGTGTCCACCAGTGGGAGAACGGATAATCTGGCAGTTTTGCAACTGAATAGTTCTCAGCAATAAAAAGGAACTACTGATACATGCAATGACAAGAATGAATCTTAAAAATGCTGTGCTGAGTAAAAGAACCCAGTCACAAATGAGTTTATAAGGTATGAATAGACAGACTTAATTTATGGTGGCAGAAATCAGGGCAGGGGTTGCTTTGGAAAGGGGGGTTGGCTGGGAAAGGCATGGGGGAGCTTTCTGGGGTGATGCAAGTGTTCTATCGACAAGTACCTGGCTGTGAGCATAAACGATGCCATCTTGGGCCCATACAGTTCTTCCTGTCCTCCTGCTGACCCCACCCAGAACTGTACTGTGTGGTAAATCACTTTTCTATTGTCAAGGGTTTTTATTAATAGTTAATAGATACTGTTTAACAACCATTAGGTCCAGGAGACCTCCATGCTCTGTTAGTTGTCAAACAATGAAGACCTTTGCTGATGTATTCCCAGCACCTACTGGTTACCCATTCATAAATCTTGACTTAGGAATGTACTTCCTACTTCCAAGCACAGACCCCCATACTCTAGGTTAACTATAAAATTGCTGCAACGGCTTCATGAAGGTGCAGTGTAGCTGTGAATGCTTCAGGACTGCTGACTGCCAGATCCCACCCTGTAAGTGACCCTATAATAAACTGGTCCACTGGGTATACGGATGGAGTTGTCCACCTTGATTACTCATCTCAAGATGCTTCTCAGGGACACCCCTCATGGTATGGTGGATAAGAATCCACCTGCCAATGCAGGGGACATGGGTCCAATCCCTGGTCCGAGATGATTCCACATGACGTGGGCCACCCATGCCCCACAACTACCGAAGCCTGCGTGCCTAGAGGCTGAGCTTAGTCAGCAACGAGAGAAGCGTGTGCACTGCAACAAAGGCAGCTCCCATTCATCACAACCGGAGAAAGCCCATAAGCAACAACAGAGACTCAGTGCAACCAAAGTTAAAAAAAAAAAAGGTGACTTCTCAGTTTGGTGGGCACTTTTGTTCCCTTGGACCTTCAACAACAGGGATGTGGGTCATGTGAATGTATGTATTTGTCAAGACTGACTAAATTATACACTTAAATCCATTTCACAGCATGTAAATTGTATCTCAAAAACTTCCTTAAAAGATTCTGGCCTCACTGAATTTACAGAATCAATGAAAGAGACTGATCTGTAAGCAGTGAAGTTATAATACAACGTATAACCCACTCTGCCACCCCTCTCCACCAAAAAATGCACTTCTAATATTGGCCAAGAAAGAGAACAAGGAAAAACTCTAGCTTTCTGGAAATTAGTGACTGAAATTTCAGATTAACTGCAATTTAAAGCCAAATACACTTAGCCTTAACTGTACCATATAGTCTTTTTTGATTCTGGTTCATTGCATTCCAAGAAAATATTACTTGAAGATCTCTACTCTAAAAATTTACTTGGCAGTTATCCATAAAGGGTTAACAAGGTGCCCCAGGCCTGTATGGACAGAGTAAGAGCATGGCTTACCAGGTGGTACCTAAGAAGCGTCCTGATGGATGCCACGTTACACGGGCCACACGCACTGTGTGGCCTTCAATATCTGCCACCGGTTCATCACTGAAAAGGAACCAAATATTCTAAGTAAACTATCTTACAGTCATGCAAATATTCACTGAATTTTTTTTCTAACTGTTGAGCACACAGGCACTCATTCTGCATGGGTTGACAGGCCAAACTGTACCTGTCATCTGTTAAAATTTTAGGGCCAACAATAACCTAACCACTCCCCAAGGTTATAAAAGCTTCGGGGCTGTCACACGTGTCCACAGGGAAACTGCCCGCTTTTTGCTGCTCAGTGGCTCAGCTGTGTGCTACTCTGTGACCCTGTGGACTGCAGCGCGCCAGGCCTCCCTGCCCTTCACCATCTCCCGGAGCTGGCTCAGACTCATGTCCACTGAGTCAGTGATGCCATCCAGTCATCTTGTCCTCTGTTGTCCCCTTCTCATCCTGCTTTCAATCTTTCGCAGCATCAGGGTATTTTCCAATAAGTCAGTTCTTCTCATCAGGTGGCCAAAGTATTGGAGCTTTAGCATCAGTCCTTCCACTGAATATTCAGGGTTGATATCCTTTAGGATGGACTGCTTGGATCTCCTTGCAATTCAAGGGACTCTCAAGAGTCTTCTCCAAAATCACAGTTCAAAAGCATCAATTCTTCGGTGCTCAGCCTTCTTTATGGTCCAAATTTCACATCCATAAATGACTACTCTGTTAGCAAAGTAATGCCTCTGCTTTTTAATATGCTATCTAGGTCTGTTATTGCCTTTCTTTCAAGAGGCAAGTGTCTTTTAATTTCAAGGTTGCAGTCGACATCTACAGTGATTTTGGAGCCCAAGAAAATAAAGTGTGTCACTGTTTTCATTGTTTCCCCATCTATTTGCCATGAAGTGATGGGACCAGATGCCATGATCTTAGTTTTTTGAATGTGAATTTTAAGCCAGCTCTTTCATTCTCTTCTTTCACCTTTCATCAAGAGGCTCTTTAGTTCCTCTTCGCTTTCTCCCATAGGGGTGGTGTCATCTGCATAGCTGAGGTTCTTGATATTTCTTCCTGCAATCTTGATTCTGGCTTGTGCTTCTTCCAGCCCAGCATTTCTCATGATGTACTCTGCATGTAAGTCAAATAATCAGGGTGACAATATACAGCCTTGACGTACTCCTTTGTAAATTTTGACCAGTCTGTTGCTCCATGTTCGGTTCTAACTGTTGCTTCTTGACCTGCATACAGGTTTCATAGGAGGCAGGTCAAGTGGTCTGGTATTCCCATCTCTTTCAGAATTTTCCACAGTTTGTTATGATTCATACAGTCAAAGGTTTCAGTGTAGTCAATGAACCAGAAGCAGATGCCACAGCACTTCAATAAACACTGTCCTTCTATTTCAGTTTACTGTGTCAACAAACTCTTAATTCTATACCACTTAAGATTAAGAGAAAAATAAAAGATACTTCAACATAACAAGTAAAATAATTTCTCTGAACCACAGGACTGCTGAGATTCTAGAAAGAAACATACTTTGATAGAGATGCAGGGCGATATCAAATACTTCTGGTCCAAGTGGATTATAGATAATTTCATTTCAAACTCCAGCTTGTTCAAGGATCCACATGAAAGAACAACTCCTAAACAGAAGCTTAATTTCTTTTCAGTAGCCATTAAATTCTACTACCAGCAACAGCGGAAAGAAGATCTGAAACACCAGTGAAAGGAAATAAACATAAACCCTAAAGAGGGCAATTAAAAAGGGAACACTGTTAATGTGCATACACAGAACTAATCAAAGCCCTAGGGGAACAAATATTGCTAGGTATTACCAAAGCCAATTAAAACGTGCTGTGCTCACAGGTAAGATCCGGTCTAGCAGAGTGGAGACACTAATTAGCTCCTCACAAAATCCTAGAACAAAAGCCTCATGTACTTTCCCAAAGAAGGAAAACCAAGCAACTGAATTCAGAAGTCTTTTAGACAACAAGGTACTTCTAACTATTTCTGGGAAAACAATAAATAATCACACACACACTAAAACAGACAAACCTGTTGTAATTGGAAAATATGGTTTAGGTAAAGGATGATGATGTTGGGAGGAGACATGGCAATACTGCTAGCCATAATCTTCTTTCCCTCCCCTGTGGCTGTTTGCTAAGAACCAATGTGCTGTCTGGAGTATTATTTTCAGTCAATCTACCAAACAGCGCATTACTCCAAAGTCAATCTATTGCATGGCAGGTATAATGGATCGTTCCAGAATAATTGGAGCCAGGAAACAGCGGTCACTATAGTAGAGGCAAAAACCAAGGTACAGAGTACCAGGTCCCTAGGGCCAACCCATCAACTATTAACTGTGGTGACGGCCGTGCGGACAGAGCAGTAAATATTCACCTGTCAAGGCTCCACAGCTTCACAGAACCGTCAGCAGCACAAGAGGCCAGATTGACGTCTTTTTGGTCCAAGGAGACCGTGGATTTGGGGTGGAATACGATCGCTCCCACGTTTGTGTTATGGCCTGAAGGAGTGTAAAAGATGGAAATTAAAGGGCTGCTGCTCCGTTATAACTTGTGTAAATATACACAATGAGGAATGTTATGTATACACAGTTCAGAAAAAGTGAACCTATAAAGTATTAAAGTAGTTCTTCAACTACTAAAAAATTGAACTTTTAAAATTTAAACTAATGTATAAATTACATTAAAAAAAAATGCTAAACACACCAGAAAATGCTTCTTGCTTTAGAGATTGTAAATGCCAGAGTGGGGCTGGACATGAGAGAGAAATATATGCATATAACGTCATTATCATTCAGCCTTGCAGTCGAAGAAAACCAAACCAAGTCAGATCATTTCACGAATTTATCGTGTGTGTACTGGGTTTGAGTGTCTGGTAGAGCTTCAAGAGTTATACTGCTTGATAGAGCTCTAATTGGGAAAAAGACCGAGATTTAGGTAAGAGTATGACCCACCTCGAAGAGTGTGAAGGAGGTTGCAATCAGGAACTGACCAGAGCTTGCAAAGCCCACTCCTATCAAACACAAAGGAAAGCATCTCAGCCAGGGTTGGTCTGGGAAGGAAAAGGTATCTTGGTAACATTACTAAAGGACAACTTCTTACCCCCCAAAACCGTTACAGTGGCAGACAAAAAAGAAAAGGCTTATCATTTGAAGGGTTGTGTAGGAAAGCTACAGCCAGGTCTGATGCAAACAAAGGCCTCCACTGGACTATAAATATTATAGCACAAGCTGCTCTTCTTAACTTTTGGACCAATTTCTAGGGAAAGTAGGACAAATTAAACTATCTAACTATAATATTAATAATGATATTATCTCCTTAAATATGAATAGCATATTACTACTTACAAAGTAATTTTAAAAAATTGCTTTATTCTGAAAAATTCCAACAAATTACTTTTTTATCATCTCAAATGATCCTTATGACAGACTTGTGAGGTCCCTAAGATAGGAATGGTCATTTCCGCTTTACTTGTGTATTCACTTTATTTTCTGTGATTAACTTTTTAAATGGAGTATAGATGACTTATAATGTCGTGTCAGCTTCTGCTGCACAGCGAAGTGAGCCATCGCTACTTTATAATAAAGAGAGCTGAGGTCTGAAGAGGTGGACGGATCTATGTAGGCCCTGGTTTCCTCCTGATGGCAGTCTTGATTTCTGCCTGGTCAAGTAGCTTCTGTGTGTACGGTGTAAGGAAGACTGCCCCTCACTAGACGACAATGTCCCACAAGGACAACTGAGTAAGTGAGCAGAACAAAACAACAAAGCTTTCACATCCGGAAGGTTTTCTGCATATGCGATGGCAAAAAGCAAACAGAATAAACACAAAAACGGTAATTCGCTTTACTTTACAGATAAAAAAACTGAAGCTTACAGAGATGAGGTATCTTGCTTAGGTCACATAACTAGAAAAGAAAAGCTATATCAAAGTGTATACAGTTAGTCCATAAACTCCCTCTATTAATATATCTGCTCCAAAATGATGCTAATGCCAAGAATATGACTTGACACATGCTAACTGAAAGCTCTGTTATAAACTACAATGGGTACATATTAGCATCTCTAGTTGGATGTGATCATGAGCAGTAGAGGAACATGGGATAGCAATGGCCTTCTATTTATTTTTCACCTTTTTTTTGAAAGTCGCTCAGTCGTGTCCGACTCTGCGACCCCATAGACTATACAGTCCAAGGAATTCTCAAGGCCACAATACTGGAGTGGGTAGTCTTTCTCTTCTCCAGGGGATCTTCCCAACCCAGGGACTGAACCCAGGTTTCCCGCAATGCAGGCGGATTTTTAACCAGCTGAGCCACCAGGGAAGCCAAGCAATGGATTTCTAAAACAAAAGTTGACTTTCCCCCCAGAACCTCATTTAGGGAAAACAAAACAAAACAAAATGGGACTTACCAACAAGCCGTGGCCAGCATTTTGGAATCGGGGCTAAAGTGACAGTAGGAGATAGGCCGATCATCCCCAATCTGACTGCAGAAATTATTCAAAGACTTAAAAAAAAAAAAAAGACAAACAAGGAATCATTACATGCTAACCCAAGATTTTCTTGGCTTTTCCACCATTAAAAAAAAAAACCTTGTCAGTTTTAACCCACCCTAAGATTCCCCACCCCTCCCTTTTGGTCAGGAGACACTTCTACAAATGAAGGAATGAATGAATGAACAGAGTCAAGGCTTATCTGGAACTCCCCCATGCTGTCATCTGCAGTGTCGCTAGCTTCTCTGTCAGCTAAAGATAAACCAGAAGGCCATGGCAAGATCTAAAGCACAGTCTAACATATTAAAAGGGATTAAAGCACAGGAACCATAGGCCTCTGCCTGGTACAAAGGACAGTAGGTCCGCTGCCACCTTAACTGATGGATCCTCCCAAGCAGCAACAGTGCAGGCAAAGATGATGATGTACAGCTGCCTTTATTTGCCAGAGGTGGGCCAAGGTAGAACATTTAATAAATACTGCAGAAATCTTTAAGACACTGGGCAATCGCTGACAGCGTCTTACTCGGAGAGATTTGTGCAGCTCTTGCATCTGGGAGGTTCTAGTTGTCTCAGGAATCTCTTTATGGAGACGGGCCTCTTCCAAGCGTTTCATTGCCCTGTATGTAACACAGAAAACATTATCCTGGGCAAACAGGCTGGAAACAAGGGTCTACAGAAGTCTCTGTACCACTCAATTTCAACCAACAACCACAGTCATAATAAAGCAGATCCTCAGTCCCTGAGAGGAGATAAGAAGTATGCTTCTTCCTCCTTCTCAAATTTCTCCTTACCTGGGCAGTGAGTAATTAGCAATCCACAATCTAGCAACCTTCAGGCTGTTTGGTCCTTCATGGTACCAGGTCTGCTGATACTGAAAGTTAAATAAGAGCAGAAGTGTCAAACCTGAAGCATCGCTGCCTCTTTCATAGCTATCAATTCCCTACTGTAACTGCCCAGTATAATATGATGAAATCCGGGATATGCGCTTTCTGCTGTGTTTCTTTCTATGAGTTCTTATTGGATGGTTTCTGGTTCCTTTTTAAAAGGAAAACCAGGAATGCTGTGCTTCTTTCCTGAAATGGGAAACTCGCTTACCTCCATTTGTATCTACAAAGGAACCACAAACAACTGCCAACAACTATTCCTCAACAGCAGTCTCCAACCCCTGCTCTGCCCCTCATCCGAGGCAAAGCAAAACTCTGAGAACAGAAAACAAGAGAACTGCCCCCTTGTTTCCTGCATGCTTACACTATGAAGCCAAGGACGTATTTTACCTCTTCTTTGGACTTCTTTGATTTCTCATCATCTTTTTTGGTCTTTTTTAAGGCATCAGTACCGACCACTGAGAGGATATTTCTTAACCTATAACAAAGATGATCAGAATTTAAATAGGGTTGAGATAAGGTAAAGTAAGACCTTCACTTTACTTCACTCAGTGCCACAGTGTGTTGGATACTCTTGACGCATTAAGTATAAAAAATGACTAAGAAACAGCCCTTGACTTCACAGGGTGCTACGGGGAATCATGAGTAAACAACCTAGACTTGGAGGGAATCAGCGAAGGCCTTATGGAGAAGATGCTCTCTAAACTGAGACCTCAATCAACCAAGTCACTAGGTCAAGAATGTTCGGAAAGGACAGCTAAGGCACAGGGTTCAACAAATGTGAAGGTCTAGAGGCAAGAAAAGCATGTTGAGCCTGGAATCAAAATAGTTCAGTATGGCTGGAGCATGGGGTACTGGGAAAGGCTGAGAGAGAAATGGCTGCCAATCGAAGGAGGGACCAGGTCACAATGCACTCCTAATGCCATGGTGAGGAGGGTTCACACTGGAAAAAGACTCCTGGAAAAGTATGGAGAATAGATTAAGGAGGGAAGAACAAAGGAGGGAACTCAGTATACTGTGGTATCCTCCCACTTGAGTCTTAATGGACTGAATAAGACAGTGGCGGGGAAGACTCAAGACATTCACCTAAGGGAATGTCTTCATTCACAAACAGTAAAAGTATATCCTTTGCAAGGCTATTAACAAAGTAACATACCATGATAGAGCATAATGTTGGGGCTTACTTTACCAGGGATCAGAGGTTAGGAAGGGCTTCTTTAAGGAAGTGGTATTTATGCTGAAACCAAAAGAATTAAAAAGCTCTAAAAGGAAAGAGCTCCAGCATTCTTGCCTAGAAAATCTGTGGACAGAGGAGCCCGACAGGCTACAGTACACAGGGTCCTAAGAGTCAGACACAACTTAGTAACTAAATCATAACACAAAAGGCAAGAGAGGAGAACAAAAAAAGGAAAATTAAGTCTAAAGACAGAAAAAAAAAAAAAAGCTTGGGTAGCCTAAGAGGACCATTATGGCTACTGAGTCTAGTAAACTGGGAAGAGTGGTACAAGGTAAGGATGAAGAGCATGTCAGGAGTTTTTTACTCTAAGTTTAGTAAGAGACACTGTAGGATTTTAAGCAAACAAACAATACAGCACATCTGGGGTTATTACAATAGTCTAAATTTGAAACTAGTGGAGGGAGAGAAAAGCGGACATCCTGGAGGTACATTTCAGAAGTAGAATAAACAAGATTTTGCTGATGGGTAACACAGAAGGTGACACAGGTTTTTAACAGAAAACTGTGTAAACGGTTGCGCTATTTCCAAGGAGAAAAGGAAAAGGATGGAAAATAGATGAGTTCAATGTCAGTTCACTTCAGTTCAGTCGCTCAGTCTTGACCCCATGGACTGCAGTATGCCAGGCTTCCCTATCCATCACCAACTCCCAGAGTTTACTCAAACTCATGTCCATTGAGTCAGTGATGCCATCCAATCATCTCATCCTCTGTGGTCCCCTTCTCCTCCTGCCCTCAATCTTTCCCAGCATCAGAGTCTTTTCCAATGGGTCAGTTCTTCACATCAGGTGGCCAAAGGATTGGGAGTTTCAGCTTCAGCATCAGTCCTTCCAACGAATATTCAGGAATGATTTCCTTTAGGATGGACTGGTTGGATCTCCTTGTAGTCCAAGGGACTCTCAAGAGTCTTCTCCAACACCACAGTTCAAAAGCATCAATTCTTTGGTGCTCAGCTTTCTTTATAGTCTAACTCTCACATCCATACATGACTACTGGAAAAACCACAGCCTTGACTAGATGGACCTTTGTTGGCAAAGTAATGTCTCTGCTTTTTAATATGCTGTCTAGATTGGTTGTTAACTTTTTTTCCAAGGAGTAAGCATCTTTTAATTTCATTTAACATAGGTCCATGAATAAGGTAAATTGGAAGTGGTCAAGCAGGAGATGGCAAGAATAAACATCAACATCTTAGGAATCAGTGAACTAAAATGGAAGGGAATGGGCAAATTTAATTCAAATGACCATTAAATCTACTACTGAGGGCAAGAATCCCTTAGAAGAAATGGAGTAGCCATCATAGCCAATGAGAGAGTCTGAAATGTAGTACTTGGGTGCAATCTGAAAAATGACAGAATGATCTTGGTTCGTTTCCAAGGCAAATCATTCAATATCACAGTAACCCAGTTCAAGCCCCAACCACTGAAGCGAAGAAGTTGAAGCTAACCAGTTCTACGAAGACCTATAAGACCTTCTAGAACCAACACCAAAAAAAGATGTCCTGTTAATCACAAGGGATTGGAATGCAAAAGCAGCAAGTCAAGAGATACTTGGAGTAACAGGCAAGTTTGGCCTTGGGAGTACAAAATGAAGCAGGACAAAGGCTAACAGAATTCTGCCAAGAGAATACACTGGTCATAGTAAACACCTTTTCCCAACAACACAAGGGACAACTTTACGTGTGGACATCACCAAATGCCAGATTGATTTTATTCTTTGCAGTCGAAAATGGAACTCTATCCACTCAGCAAAAACAAGACCTGGAGCTGACTGTGGCTCAGATCATCAGCTCCTTATAGCAAAATTCAGGCTTAAACTAAAGAAAACAGGGAAAACCACTAGGCCATCCAGATACAACCTAAATTAAACCTCCATAATCATACAGCGGAGATAACAAATAGATATAAGGAATTAGATCTGGTAAAGAGTTGAAGAACTATGGACAGAGGTTCATAATACTGTACATGGGCACTGACAAAAACCAGCCCAAAGGAAAAGAAGTGCAAGAAGGCAAAGTGGTTGTCTGACAAAGCCTTACAAATAGCCGAGGAAAGAAGAGAAGTGCAAAGCAAGGGAAAAAGGAAAAGGTATACCCAACCGAATGCAAAATTCCAGAGAACAGCAAGGAGAGAGAAGGCTGTCTTCAATGAACAATGTGAAGAAACAGGAAAACAGAAGGGGAAAGACTAGAGATCTCTTCAAGAAAACTGGAGATATCAAAGGAACATTTCATGCAAAGATGGGCACAATAATGGACAGAAACAGTAAAAACCTAATAGAAGCAGAAGAGATCAAGAAGAGATGGTAAGAATACACAGAAGAACTGTACAAAAAAGATCTTAATGATCTGGATAGCTATGATGGTGTGGTCACTCACCAAGAGCCAAACATCATGGAGTGTGAAATCATGAGGGCCTTCGGAAGCACTGCTACCAATAAAGCTAGCGGAGGTGATGGAATTCCAGCTGAGCTATTTGAAATCCTAAAAGATGATGCTATTAAAGTGCTGCATTCAGTATGTCAGCAAATTTGGGAAAACCCAGTAGTGGCCACAGGACTGAAAAAGGTCAATCTTCATCCTAATTCCTAAGAAGGGCAATACTAAAGAACGTTCAAACTACCAGACAATTGCGCTCACTTCTCAAGCTAGTAAGGTTATGCTCAAAATCCTGTAAGCTAGGCTTCAGCAGTACCTGAATGGAAACTTCCAGATGTACAAGCTGGATTTAGAAAAGGCAGAGGAAACAGAGACCAAATTGTCAACATTTGCTGATCACAGAGAAAGCAAAGGAATTCCAGAAAATTCTGTTTCACTGACTATGCAAAAGCCTTTGACTGTGTGAATCACAACTGTGAAAAACTCTTAAAAAGAGATGTGAATACCAGACCATCTTACCTGTCACCTGAGAAAACTATATGCGGGTCAAGAAAACAACAGTTAGAACCTTATATGGAATAAATGACTGGTTCAAAATTAAGAAAGAAGTATGACAAGGCTGTATACTGTTATTCTGCTTATTTAACTTATATGTAGAGTACATCATGGAATTGCCAGGCTGGATGACTCACAAGCTGGAATCAAGATTGCTGGGAGAAATATCAACAACCTCAGATATGCAGATGATACCACTCCAATGGCAGAAATCGAGGAGGAATTAAAGAGCTTACTATTGAGGGTGAAAGAGAGAGTGAAAAAGTCAGCTTGAAACTCAGTATTAAAAAATCTAATTAGATGGCCTCTAGTCTTAACACTTCATGGCAAAGAGAAGAGGAAAAGGTGGAAGCAGGGACAAATTTCCTCTTCTTGGGATGGGGAAAATCACTGCGGATGGTGCCTGCAGCCACAAAATTAAAGATGATTGCTTCTTGGAAGGAAAGCAATGATAAACCCAGACAGTATATTAAAAAGCAGAGATACCATTTAGCTGAAAAAGGTCCATACAGTCACAGCTATGGTGTTTCCAGTAGTCACATATGCATGTGAGAACTGGACCATAAAGAAGGCAGAGCACTGAAGAACTGATGCTTTCAAACTGTGCTGCTGGAGAAGGCTCTTGAGAGTCCCTTGGACAGCAAGATCAAACCAGTCAATCCCAAAGGAAATCAACCCTGAATATTCACTGGAAGGACTGATGCTGAAGCTGAAGCTCCATACACTGGACACCTGATGAAAATAGCCAACTAACTGGAAGAGACCCTTATCCTGGGAAAGACTGAAGACAGCAGGAGAAGAGGGCAACAGAGGATGAGATGGTTGGATGACATCATCAATTCAATGGACATGAACTTGGGCAAACTCCAGGAGATGGTGAGGTACTGGGAGGCCTGGTGTGCTACAGTCCCTGGGGTTGCAAAGAGCCAGACATGACTTGGTGATTGACCAACAACAACAACAACAACAACAACCAACTTAGAGATGTCAAAGTTGAGACTATAGAATAGCTAGGCTACAGAGACCTGGGAGTCAACAGACTCCATGCCATGGGAGTCCATATAAACCATGCCATGGGAATGGACCTGATCCCTCATGGCTGGTGTAAAGTAAAGTAAAGTTGCTCAGTCGTGTCTGACTCTTTGTGACCCCATGGACTGTAGCCTACCAGGCTCCTCTGTCCATGGGATTTTCCAGGCAAGAGTACTGGAGTGGGCTGCCATTTCCTTCTCCAGGGGATCTTCCTGACCCAGGGATCGAACCCGGGTCTCCAGCATTGCAGACACACACTTTACTGTCTGAGCCACCAGGTGTAGGACAAGGACAAACAACAGTGGTTTATAAAGGTTATGCAGGGGGAAAACGAGGCTTAGAAGAATTAGCTAAAGAAACAGGAAGAAAACCAGGAGGATTGGGTTTTATGGGAGCCAAGGAAAGGGAGTGTTTGAAGGATGGAATAGGTGGCAGTGTACTAGGGATATTCTTAGTAAAGATGGGCTGATAACCTTAATGAACAGCCATTTCAGTGTGGTAGTGGTCAATCAATTTGCACTGGGTTGAAGAGTGGTAAGGGCCTTAAGAGGGTAAATGTAATAAGTGAGGAACAGTTGAGCCCCAAGTCCTGAAGAGGCAGGCAGGTCACATCCTTGTAACTGCACACGACTAGCCTGTCACTGAGAGATTTTGGAACTTCAGAATCACAAGAGTAGCATTATCTGAGGACAGTACCTCTTTTCAGTAACATCCAAAAAACACTTACTATCATGTTTTATGTTAATGACAAAAAACACGTCTGCTGTTTAAATTTTCAGAGTTCAGTGACAAATTTTACCAACTCAAAACTGCACACTGAGGAGAGGAAGGGGAGGGAACATGTTAACATCTTCACTTTACAAAGAAAAGTTAATAGAGGAGAATAAATTGGCCTAAGACTTAGATTATGGACTAAACCATATTCATACAACTTAATGTCAACATTATGTGAGACATTCTATTAAAGTTTTAGCTACAAATACCAACTAAATAATGGCAGAAAGTGAAGAGGAACTAAAGAGCCTCTTGATGAAAGTGAGAGAGAGTGAAAAAACCTGGCTTAAACTCTTCAAAAAATGAACATCATGGCATTTGGTTGAATCACTTCATGGCAAACAGGGAAAAAGTGCAAAATGTCACATTTCATTTTCGTGGGCTTCAAAATCAATGTGGATGGTGACTGCAGCCATGAAATTAAAAGACACTTGCTCCTTGGAAGAAAAGCTATGACAAACCTAGACAGTGTATTAAAAAGCAGGGACATCACATTGCCGAAAAAGGTCAGTATAGTCAAGGTTATGGTTTTTCCAGTAGTCATTTACGGATGTGGACGGTAAAGAAGGGAGATTACCGAAGAATTGATGCTTTTGAACTGAGGAGTTGGAGAAGACTCTTTTTTTTTTTGGAGAAGACTCTTGAGAGTCCCTTGGACAGCAAGGAGATCCAACCAGTCAATCCTAAAGGAAATCAACCCTGAAAATTCATTGGAAGGACTGATGCTGAAACTGAAGCTCCAATACTTTGGCCACCTGATGTGAAGAGCCAACTCATTGGAAAAGACCCTGATGCCGGGAAAGACTGAGGGCAGGAGAAGAGGACGACAGGATGAGACAGTCGGATGGCATCACTGTCTCAATGGACATGAGTTTGAGCAAGCTCCAGGAGACAGTGAAGGACAGGGAAGTTCATGGGGTCACAGAATCAGACACGACTTAGTGACTGAACAACAACTAAAATTTGGAACTATAACTCTGTGATTAAAAAAGAGTAAGTTCTTAGGAAGGGTACCTTTCTCGTCTTTCAGCAGGACCTTCTCCAAAAAGTGTGATGGGTTCCCCCAAAGCTCTAAGGCAAGCTTTGACCTCTGAGTCGTCTGTGGAAACGTTGATTTGCCGAGCTCGCTTCCTTCTCTCAAACTCTGCTAACACTTCTGCCTGTCTCTCACTGATGTGCTCTTCAATTTCAAACACTTCTCCTGTAAACAGAGCAGGCAATATCAGCATAATCACCAATCTCCTTCAATTAGGGAGAGAGAAATAAGTTCTTAGAACTGGAGTCTGCTTGCCTCTAGGGACACTTAACTAATCTACTAGAAACCTTATAGTTTCTCAGTTCATTAAAGTATGCCAAACACAGAAAACTAAATGAGGTTTTAAAGCCAGAAACTGGTTCAAGTCATCTTGTTTCATTTGGCAACTTACACTTATATAAACACACAGCTTTCATGAGACAATGAGAATATAGAGCACTTTTAACTTTTAACTAGGCTTTCTATCCATGGAAAAATAGAAACCTTATTTTAACAGTCGTTAAGGTTACCTTCTGAAACAGTCTCGGTATAGGAACACTAACAAACATGACAATAAACTGGAAATAATTACCATGAAAATGGTAAGCTTTAACTCTAAGGCTTTTTGGATAATCTAGTAGCTAGTTTTAAAATTCACATAAAAAACAAGCATTTGGATGTGAAGTGAGAAGTACAGTAGTGATGCAGTCATGTTTAAAATAACATAAAAGGTTTAAAACTCATGAAAACTGCATGTGTATAGAAAAGGTGTGGAGAGTCGATGAGAAACTTGACAGAAGTCCTATCTGCAGAGAAGTCTTTTTATACCCTTCCATGCTGTCTGAATTTCTTAAGACAAACATGAATGATTTTATTTTATAGTAGACTACTAGTTACTGGCATGAAAATATACCCTCAACAGTGTGTGCATACTTATTCGCGTACTTGTTTCCAACTCTTTGCGACCTGGTAGACTGTAGCCCACCAGACCCCTCTGTCCATGGGATTTTACATGTGTGAAAATACTCGAGTAGGTTGCCATTTCCTCTTCCAGGGGATCTTCCCCACCCAGTGATCAAACCCACCTTGTCTCCTGTGCCTCCTGCATTGCAGGTGAATTCTTTACGCACTGAGCCATCGGGAAAGCCCCTTTAACAGTATTCAGAATGACACACGCAGGTTATAAAACAATTTGTTTATCGTGGTTTCAATTTATGGAAAAAAATGTATTTTTATAGCTTTATTAAGTTCTTGAAATGATATAGCCCCAATTAAAGACTACAGGTTTTTCTACTTCATATATTTCTGTATTGTTTAATTGCTTTCAAAATATAGATGGCTACCACTTTAAAATTTAAAAGTGATCATTTCATTTCGGGTGAAAAGCAGTTGGAAAACTAAAACGAGGAGAATATTAGGAAACACAGTAGCTCCAAGTTAACGCCAGAACTACGCTAGATCTCCAGAAGACAAAGGGACTCACTCTAAATCCAAATACACACTGAATAATTTCCTAGTAAAATTACTAATAATTCATTGAAGAAAAACTGTATAAAAGGTTTTAAGAAAAAGGTTCTCTGGATGATAATACCAAGGCAGGTAGGCAGAGAAAACGGCCTTCGATAGGTGCAAGCTTATTATTTGAAGTTTTTTGACATAAACTAGTGATATTTAAGTTGAGGCAGGTAATCATTACAGAAAATTTGAGCACCAAAGGTAAAGATGAACTCACAATTTGCATCTTACCAGAGGTTATGTTAATGTTTCCTGCTTCAATTCCTGCTTTGAGTCCTTCTTTTCCCAAAAGCCCAGATTCTCCTTTGGCCAGACGCTCCCTCTCCTTCTCTTCCAAACTTCCATAATAGATGTGTGGTTTCTTCACAACAGGAGCCACTAAGTCATCTGGTGCCTTAGTTTTGGTTGCCTGCTAAAACAAAGACCTACATTAATTAACCTAAAGCTTAATCTTAGCAATCAAATAGGTTTCCCAGCAGAATGCAGCTTATTTAGAGCTTCAAACCTATTTCTTCCCCCACACAAAGGACAAACCAGACACCAGTTAAAATGTGTCTTCCTTGATCTGGGGGTGGAAGGAGAGAGTGGTTCCAGTCTCTTAATCACTTAAGTTTTGCAGACAGGAAGAGATGGATAAAACTAGTCAATTTCTTGTGCAGATTTTTCTGTCAGACAAGTTTTCTCTCGAACATGTTTGTTTCATACAGTTGCAGCAAGTGCAATCTCTTCTTGGCTTTTAAGAAATTTCCAGAATTACTGCTCATCACAGAGGATTTCAAGGATAACTGAAATAACCAACGCGATGGTACGGGGGACAAGTTAGAAAGTTACTGTTCATACATTTCAAACGTTTCGGACATGAAGCAGTAGATTAATATCTACTATTTATGAGGCCTCGTTACATCCGAAAGTGTCATAAATCTTGGCCAAGACTCTACTCCCTTTCAGAGCTCCGTTTTTGAACCAGACGGAAGAGATATTTACATTTCGGGGCTGTAGTGAGAGGTGAAAATGAGCTAAAACAAATGAAAGCACTCAAGAATTAGGAAAACACCGCAGCCTTCCTCCTCGGCCCTCCACCGCCGTAGCCCGTTCCCTAACGGCCCTGTTTCGCAAAGACCCCCACCCCTCAGGGCTCCCTGCCAGAATGAGACCTGTACCGTGGAGGAGGGTCGTGAGGAAGCCATGCTGGGCTCCCGTGGCCGCGAAACCCCAGCGAAAGCCGAGCTCTACGTTTCAGACTGTCCACCGCGCGCCCAGCAAGGCGGAACTACGTCACCGACCGGAAGTGGTCAGAGGGCCGACGCAGCATCCTGGGCGGCGTGGAGCATTATGGGAATCGTAGTAGGAGGGAGTCTGGGAGAGTTGAGAGATGTGATCGGTAGAGCTTCCGAGAATAGCACGCGGAGGACAAGGTTCTGCGAAGAGAGAGAGAGAGACTCAGAGGCAGTGTGGGAAGTGTAGTCCAGTTGGCTTAGCGAATGATTCGGGGTGGTCGCCGAGGTTCCGGAAAGAGACTGAACAGGCCTGAAAAGAGGTAGGTGCGGCGAATTGCGCGGCTGCGGACTGAACTCAGGGAGCGAATGGAGGGTTTCCGGGGCCTGCTGTCGCTCCCGGCCCGGCCAGGGGCTCTAAGCCCTCCTGGAGCGAAGGTCCATGTTGCCATGGAAACTCTCGCCCCGGACCCTTGAGTGCGGCCCGGGAGCTGCGGCAGGAGTGCTGTTCTCCGCTGTCAGGAAGTTCTCTTGGCTGTTTCTGAGCTGGGTGGGTTTTCGGTGGATTTGGGCAGTGGTGAAACCATAAGCTCAAAGAGCCCTCTAGCGCCGACGTGAAATAAAGATCAGGCGAAGGAGCCACGCCCCAATTTTGCTGTCTTAGCAGGTCTTTCTATCTTATTCTCAGTGAGATGATAAATGTGAGGCGTCAGGTAAACTGCAAGCAAGCAACTTTGCACAACCCTGCTGCCCTGGGTGCTGGGGCATCAGAGGTGGACAGGACAAGATTTTTGTCCACTTGTAGGGAGTGAAAGTGAAAGTGAAAGTGAAGTCGCTCAGTCGTGTCCAACTCTTTGCGAACCCGTGGACTGTAGCCTCCCAGGCTTCTCTGTCCATGGGATTTAACAGGCAAGAGTACCGGAGTGGGTTACCATTTCCTTCTCCTTGTAGGGGGTGGAGATGCTCAAAATACTGGTGTTTCCAGAGCTGGAAAGAGCCCCCCCCCCCCCCCCCCCCCTAAAAAGGAGAGACATTAGTTTGCCAACAAAGGTTCACCTAGTCAAAGCTTTGGTATTTCCAGTAGTCCTGTATGGATGTGAGAGTTGGAATATAAAGAAAGCTGAGTGCTGAAGAATTGATGCTTTTGAACTGCAGTGTTGGAGAATACTCTTGAGAGTCCCTTGGATAGCAAGGAGATCCAGCCATTCCATCCTAAAGGAAATCAGTCCTGAATATTCAGTGGAAGGACTGATGCTAACTAAAGCTGAAACTCCAATCTTTTGGCCACCTGATGCGGAAAACTGACTCACTTGAAAAGACCCTGATTCTGGGAAAGATTGAAGGCAGGAGGCGAGTGGGATGACAGAGGATGAGATGATTGGATGGCATCACTGACTCAATGGATAAGAGTTTGAGTAAGCTCCGGGAGTTGGCTATGGACACGGAAGCCTGGCATGCTGCAGTCCATGGGGTCACAAAGAGTCGGACACAACTGAGCAACTGAACTGAACTGATTGTTTACTAAACGCCAGGTTTTGTTACAGGAATTTATGTTGCAATATGACATTTAATCCATACAACAACAGATACAGACCAAGAAACCAAGATCTAGTGAAAGGTAAAGCCAGTTGTCCAAGATCAGTGGGGATAGAATTAGAACCTCTGCCTCCAATTGTTGTTCAGTTGCTCAGTCTTGTCAGACTCTTTGTGAGCCTATGGACAGCAGCATGCCAGCCTTCCCTGTCCTTCACCATCTCCTGGAGTTTGCTCAAACTCCTGTACATTGAATCGATGATGCCATCAAATCATATCATCCTCTGTCATCCCCTTCTCCTCCTGCCTTCAATCTTTCCCAGCATCAGGGTCTTTTCTAATGAGTCGGCTCTTTGCATCAGGTAGCCAAAGTATTGAAACTTCAGCTTCAGCATCAGTCCTTACAATGAGTATTCAGGGTTGATTTTCTCTAGGATTGACTGGTTTGATCTCCTTGCTGTCCAAGGAGCTCTCAAGAGTTTTCTCCAGCACCACAGTTTGAAGGCATCAATTCTTTGGTGATCATCCTTTTTTATTGTCCATCTCCCACATCCGTATATGACTACTGGAAAAACTGTAACTTTGACTGTATGAACTTTTGTAGGCAAAATAATGTGTGTGCTTTTTAATATGCTATCTAAGGTTGTCATTGCTTTTCTTCTAAGGAGCAAGTGTCTTTTAATTTCTGGCTGCAGTCACCATCCACAGTGATTTTGGAGCCCAAGAAAATAGTCTGTCACTGTTTCCATTGTTTCCCCATCTATTTGCCGTGAAGTGATGGGACCGGATGCCATGATCTTCGTTTTTGGAATGTTGAGTTTTAAGTCAGCTTTTTCACTCTCCTCTATCACCTTCATTAAGAGGCTCTTTAATTCCTCTTCGCTTTCTGCCGTGAGTGTCATCTGCATACCTGAGGTTATTGGTATTTCTCCCTGCAGTCTTGAGTCCAGCTTGTGCTTCATCCAGCCTGGCATTTCGCATGATGTATTCTGCATAGAAGTTAAATAAGCAGGGTGACAATGTACAGCCTTGACGGACTCCTTTCCCAGTTTTGAGCCAGTCCGTTGTTTCATGTCCAGTTCTAACTGTTGCTTCTTGATCTACATACGGGTTTTTCAGGAGAAGGTAAGGTGGTTTGGTATTCCCATCTCTTTCAGAATTTTCCACAGTTTGTTGTCATCTACACAGTCAAAGGCTTTGGTGTAGTCAATGAAGCAGAAGTAGATGCTTTTCTGGAATTCTCTAGCTTTTTTCTATGATCCAAGGCATGTTCCTCTGCTTGTATGTAAATTTGTACATAAATTTGTACATAAATTCAGCTGTGCATCTGAAAGTTCTCAGTTTACATACTGTTGAATCCTAGCTTAAAGGATTTTGAGCATTACTTTGGCTAGCATGTGAAATGAATACAATTGTGTGGTAGTTTGAACATTCTTTGGCATTGCTCTTCTTTGGTATTGGAATGAAAACTGACCTTTTCCAGTCCTGTGGCCGCTGCTGAGTTTTCCAAATTTGCTGGCATATTAAGTGCAGCACTCTACAGCATCATCTTTTAGGATTAAAATAACTCAGCTAGAATTCCATCACCTCCACTAGCTTTGTTCATAGTGATGCTTCCTAAGTCCCACTTGACTTCACACTCTAGGATATCTTTCTCTAGGTGAGTGATCACACCATCGTGGTTATCTGGGTCATTAAGATCTTTTTTTGTGTAGTTTTTCTATGTATTCTTGCCACCTCTTTTTAATATCTTCTGCTCTTGTTAGGTCCATACAATTTCTGTCCTTTATTGTGCCTATTTTTGCATGAAATATTCCCTTGGTTTCTCTAATTTTCTTGATGAGATCTCTAGTCTTTCCCATTCTATTGTTTTCCTCTATTTCTTTCCCTTGTTCACTTAAAAAGGCTTTCTTATCTCTCCTTGCTGTTCTCTGGAACTCTGCATTCAAATGGGTATATCTTTCCTTTTCTCCTTTGCCTTTCATTTCCACAGTTTCCACATTTCCACAGCCTCTTCTTTTCTTAGCTGTTTGTAAGGCCTCCTCAGGCAACCTTTTTGCCTTTTTGCAATTATTTTTCTTGGGGAAGGTTTTGATCACTGCCTCCTATACAATGTTACAAACCTCTATCCATAGTTCCTTAGGCACTCTGTCTATTAGATCTAATCCCTTGAATCTATTTGTCACTTCCACTCTATAATCGTAAGGGATTTGATTTAGGTCATACCTGAATGGCCTAGTAGTTTTCTCTTTGTTCTTCAATTTAAATCTGAATTTGGCAATAAGGAGTTCATGATCTGAGCTGTAGTCAACTCCCAGCCTTGTTTTTACTGACTCTATAGAGCTTCTCCATCTTTGGCTACAAAGAATATAATCAATCTGATTTTGATATTGACCATCTGGTGATGTCCACGTGTAGAGTCTTCTCTTGTGTTCTTGGCAGAGGGTGTTTGCTGTGACCAGGGTGTTTTCTTGGCAGTACTCTGTTAACCTTTGTCCTGTTTCATTCTGTACTCCAAGGCCAAACTTGCCTGTTACTCCAGTTACCTCTTGACTTCCTACTTTTGCATTCCAGTCCCCTGTGACGAAAAGGACATCTTTTTTTGGTGTTAGGTCTAGAAGGTCTCGTAGGTCTTCATAGAACCATTGAGCTTCAGCTTCTTCAGCATTAGTGGTTGGGACATGGATTTGGATTACTGTGATATTGAATGGTTTGCCTTGGAAATGAACAGAGATCCTGTCATTTTTGCGATTGCACCCAAGTACTGCATTTCGGACTCTTGTTGATTGTGAGGGCTACTCCATTTTTCTTCTTCTAAGGGATTCTTGCCCATAGTAATAGATATAGTGGTTATCTGAATTAAATTCGCCCATTCCAGTCCATTTTAGTTCACTGATTCCTAAAATGTCGATGTTCACTCTTGCCATGTACTGTTTGACCACTTCTAATATACCTTGATTCATAGACTTAACAATTTACCTTGATTCATGGACCTTGGACTTCAAGGAGATCAAACCAGTCAATCCTAAAGGAAATCAGTCTTGAATATTCATTGGAAGGGCTGATGCTCCAGTACTTTGACCACTGATGTGAAGAACTGACTCCTTAGAAAAGATTCTAATGCTGGGAAAGATTGAAGACAGCAAGTGAATGGGATGACAGAGGATAAGATGGTTGGATGGCGTCACTGACTCAATGAACATGAGTTTGAGCAAGCTGTCGGACTTGGTAATGGATGGAAGGCTGGCGTGCTGGCGTCCATGGGGTCACAGAGTCAGACATGACTGAGCCACTGAACTGAACTGACTGATGGACCTAACATTCCAGCTTCCTATGCAATACTCCTCTTGACAGCGTCAAACTTTACTTTCACCACCAGACACATCCACAACTGCGTGCTATTTCTGCTTTGGATCAGCCTCTTCATTCCTTCTGGAACTGTTTCTCTGCTCTTCTCCAGTAGCAACTGAACACCTACTGACCTGGGTAGTTAAGTCTTTCAGTGTCGTATCTTTTTGCCTTTGCATACTGTTCATGGGGTTC